CGGTGGGGAACGTTACCCTAAATTTTCAGCTTCCTAGCTTTTGTGGTTCCCGAGTTGAAAGTTGTGGGGTCACACGTGGGTGGGTAACGTTTCCCTAAATTTTCAGCTTCCTAGCTTTTGTGGTTCCCGAGTTGAAAGTTGCAGGTGGGGAACGTTCCCCTAAATTTTCAGCTTCCTAGCTTTTGTGGTTCCCGAGTTGAAAGTTGCGGTGGGGAACGTTACCCTAAATTTTCAGCTTCCTAGCTTTTGTGGTTCCCGAGTTGAAAGTTGCGGACAGTCACACGTGGGTGGGGAACATTACCCTAAATTTTCAGCTTCCTAGCTTTTGTGGTTCTCGAGTTGAAAGTTGCGGACACCCCTTAAATTTTCAGCTTCCTAGCTTTTGTGGTTCCCGAGTTGAAAGTTGCGGACAAGTTGCTGCGTTAAATTTTCAGCTTCATAGCTTTTGTGGTTCCCGAGTTGAAAGTTGCGGACAAGTTGCTGCGGGAAACGTTACCCTAAATTTCCAGCTTCCTAGCTTTTGTGGTTCCCGAGTTGAAAGTTGCGGACAAGTTGCTGCGGACACAAACGCATACAAACACACACACAGACAAACCCGTAACAATATGCGTTTTGTACTGCTGTTACAGCACAAAACGCATAAAAAACAGTGCTATTAGCAACAAAACCTGCGGTAGGATTGTGCAAAAAACGCATCTTCGCACCGGAGCCGGTGCACTAAGTTAACTTCCTATTTTACTGGTTCTGACAATACAAAATTACCATGGTGCACATCACTGAGATTACAGCTGGTTGTGCATTGTGAACTAATAAATAGTTAGGGATTACGACTTCAGTATTTCAGCTTCCTAGCTTTCTTTGGTTATGGAGTTGAAAAATATGTGACGTTGACCCACCGGCTAAACAAGAATAAACATCACTTAACAAAACAATACCCAACCAAGTCAAGCAGATGGACGCAGAAGGTTTAGCCGGAAGCAGCATGAAGCTGTCGGCACTCCACTTTAGATAATATTACCAAACTACTTTACCTTTTCTAATCATGTCATTTTATAACAATGGGAATCTCGAATCACAAGGCAAGACATTTACATTTCACGTGGAAACGAAGTACAGGCGGGATAAGGAAAAGGGGTTCAGCCGCCTTCACTTTCTTATATATGTATATATATTTGAAAAAATGCAACCATATAAGTATACAACCGTAGATTCTCTGCTTGCTCCAGAAAATGCTGTCAGAAGATTACTGTGAGTCAGCAAATCAATTGTGTCGCCTGTTTCAGATTCTTTCAGGAGCTAATCGCTTAAAAACGTATGATGGCGACATCCTCTTCCATGCATCGCTAACACTGGGAGTTTTATTATAAGACTTTACCTGACTGAACATAACTTCTGCGAGAGCTTCGCCAAATTCGATCCATAACGTCCTATGAAAACCAAGTGGTTCAAGACGCAAATGTGTTCGAGCTGGAATTATCCGACTTTGCGGTATTGCTTTTATTAAAATTTTGCAAAAAATAGATCTACTGATAAATATCCGAGGTACTGCACGCCTTTTCTCGCCCTCCGTCACGAGCATGCCTCTAGCACTAGTTACTCCTCCATTGATTTGAGACATTTGATAGTTACCAATTTCTGATAAATCCATTGAATTTCTTTCGGTGGTATTATCAAACATCAACAAAATTATATCATCGATGAAATCCACAAGAAGATGAGCGTGATCGCGTATCGTCTTGATTGTATGTGGGGCGCTTATGGACTCTCCACTGCGCTCTTCTGATTGTCTTTTTCTGCGCTTATTATCTTCAATGCAGCTTAGAAATGCACATTTGTAAAAGATCGGCATAACTTCTGACGTTTCCGCCATCTTATCGAACACCTGAAACACTGAGAAGAGATTGCAGATTGGTCGAAAATTCAATCAAATAGGCGGGTCAAACCGTTGAACTTTTAAATGAGAGGGCGCTGGGCGAGATAGTTTCCTGTCCACAGGCGCAAAAGTGTGTTTACTAGTCAACCAGACTGTAATGCTGTGTTTATGCGTTCTTTAGCATTCTTAATTTCGGATTTGAAATTTCTTCCTGAAATTCAGTTCTGGAACTAAGAGCGCAGCTGAAGTTTTGAGAATTCCTGGCCACATGTATAGCGACACATATAAAACCAGTTCAGATTGTTTTTTACGTCATAAACTGTGTGACCTAAAGTTCAAGTTAAAATTAATTTAATAAAGTCAAAAAATCTATAGATTAGCAAGTCAGAAGTATTGATTCTCCAAATTACTTGGGACAAATGACTGAGTTCAGTGCTCTGCTTTGACCTTCGATCTTAGGCCCAATTTCAAATTAATTTTTATACAAATGCAAAAGCGCATATTGTCGAGAGGTTACCCGTGCGTGTATTCAGAGGCGAATGATCCACTTTATCATCCACTTTGAACTCAGCAACCAGGAATTACTTGGGACACTGAAAATCGTATATTCCCACTTCATGCGCCACACTTTAAAATCATCGTTCATGCACGCCTGTGATCTTATATATGAAGGCCTTAAAAAATGTGTAAATTTTTTGGCAAAAGTGATTTAGAATCTGAAACTTTGCAGGGGTAATCTCTGCCTAAACGTGAGCTAGACGTTACAGATTCAGCTGTAGCACACGCTTGTATCACGTGCAAGCTCACATCAAAGCTCTCGAAACTATTTGGAAAACTATAGCTGTAATTTTGCCAAAATACTTATCGTCGATCCGGGGGATCGTATACCTAAGTGGAGTCTCGAATTGCATTTGTTTCATTCCCTAGGGCACGTCAAAAATATTTGTAGCGAAATAACGATTTCAGGCAACCGACAAGTTGCGAAGCTGGGATTTTACAAGGATATACAATATTCACGCCTGGTCTATGTTCAGCTTGGAGATTAAATTGTCTGCGCAAGGATATGAAAATACTTAATTTTATCGCAGTCCCAACCCAGGCTGGAGCGCACCAGGCTTTTCAGTACGATCATGCGTTTTTGCACTAAACTCGTAAATCGCTATTAGCAAGAATGATCCCTACGCTGCAGCCTAATCTGATTATCGCATGATTATAGCATGAAAGTAACATGAAGAACATAGAAAAGAAGGCAGGAATAGAACGAACTATGTAGTGCAAGGGGTAGGAAGATTTCTGGCGCAGGAGAAATAAGAACGGAAGAGTTAAGACGTTTCGGTCCATGAAGTCATATACGTCTTATCTCAACACCGCGACTGGACCTCGTCAGTGTGACGGTCGCAATGTTCAGAGATGAGAATGAGAAGAGGGAATGGGAGGAGAAATAGAGAAGGAGATAGTAACAGGCAGAATTTTTAAAAAATATAAATTTTGAGCATTTGAAAAGGATGAGAACATAATGTGGAAGTGGAGAAGTGTCGGGAGGAGGAGGTAGCAACGTAGAAGGAACGCTAACAAGACAACTTATAAGCGCTTGTTGGGTGGTACAGCTATTGTAGAAGAGCGTGTATCAGACGTTGACAATGGGCCACCGTAGCAGGGAAATATTTAGAAAGGTGGTATGTATGTTTGTGGACAAATGTGTTGACTAGACGACTAATGCTATGAGAAGAAAGTCCCTTGCGTTAGTATAGGCCGTGCTTTGATCTTTTCCGGCATGCAGGAGGAAGGGCGTCAGTTGGGATAAAGGTGGTGCAATATAGAGCCGCACGGACATCCAACTGCGTGATTACCGGTTTTTTGCATGAAGTCCGGTCCTTTTTTCGGTAAATGCTCGTTTTGTAAAAAAAATGAAAAATGTAAATTTTTCGAAAAAATGCAAATTTTCAGTTCACTAAAAAGTGGAAGTACTGCTCGAGCGGTTGTTTATCAAAAATTCATGTTCATTTACACATACAATTGCGGTTCAGGTCCGAGTTACGGACGATTTTTTTGAAAAAATGCGAATTTCCAGTTCATTGAAAATTGAAAGTATTGCTCGAACGGTCGTTTGTCAAATAATCCATGTTCATTTACATATACGATTACGGTTCAGGTCCGAGTTGCTAACGATTTTTCGGTTGGGGAGCTGCTTGAGGCTGTGGTTGGGGTGCTCGACAGATGAGTTTAAAATCTTTAGCTCGCACGTGCATAGAGAATATCCCTGCAAGGTTTCAGCTTTCAGTCATGCCTGGTTCGCGAAATCGTTTCCCGCCAACATATTTCTTTGGGGGTCTCGCAAGCGGGGTAGGCGAGTATACGGAAAGATCTTACAACGGGAGGATGACAAACGGGGTAGGAACATATATTCAAATTTTCAGCCTCCCAGCTTTCCTGGTTGCTGAGATGAAAGTGGGTGACAAAATTCAATCGCTTTCCGAACACACACACCCACGCCCACACAGACAGTCTCTCGACAACATGCGTTTTTACTGGCTGTAGCAGCGCTGCACAGCAAAAACGCATAAAAACGAGTGCATTTTCGAGCTTCGTCATTACTCTCGCTCGACATCCTTTTCATTGTCAAATTTGCATTTTTATGCGTTTTTGCATATATGTAAATTGCAAAAACGCATATTGGGAAGAGGCTGTGTGTGTGTTTGTGTGTTCGCACTTTTCTCATCCACTTGCAACTCGAGAACCAGAAAAGCTAGAACGCTGAAACTTTGGGAGTATGTGCCCATATCATGCGCAACCCTTCCGTTTTAGTATCATCTCCCGTAGATGTCTTGATGCCGCGACCGGACGCTTTAAAAATTTGGTGGGAAAGCGATCTCGGAAACCAGACAAGATAAGGGGCTGAAACTTTGTAGGGATATTCCCTGTGCA